ACATGGGGCCAATATTCATGGTCAGCTGCTATAGCCAAACCTTTGGTGACTCGTGTCAATGGCAAACGTCGGTTCACATGGTACCAGCAGCGCGAGACTTGGGCTGTAAACAATGTGAAACATGCATTGTTCTCTGATGACGCCACTCTGACTGTCTTTTCCACATCTGGGAGAATCATGGTGTGGAGAAGTCTATGCCACCCAGACTGTTGTGTACCCAGAGTGCAGCATGGGGGTGGATTAGTGATAGTTTGGGCTGAAATATTATGGCATTCCCTAGGCCCACTACTTGTTCTAGATGGGGGCAACACTGCCAAGGTCTAATGAACCATTCTGCATGTCCATGTTCACCAAATGGTTCAGACTTTATACCCTGAACGTGGTGCCATGTATCAGGATGATAATGCACCAATACACACAGCGAAACTGGTGACAGAGTGGTTTGATAACCATGAAATTGAAGTTGAACATCTCCCATGGTCTGCAGAGTCACCATATCTGAATATTATTCAGCCACTTTGGGGTGTTTTGGAGGAGCGAGTCAGGAAACATGGCCACTGTTCTGCAAGAGGAGTGACTCAAAATCCCTCTGGCCGCTGTGCAGGGCTTGAATCAGTCAATCCCAAGAGGAATTGGTGCTGCATTGACCACAAAAGGAGGCCCTACACCAGGGGTGTCATCAACTATATTTGTCAGAGGGCCAGAGTTTTACCAGACAGTCTCCTTGGGGGGCGGACCCCCAAGAAGAAAATCAAATAAAAATCTAATTTTGGCTTAACATTATGTTTAATGTTTATACTTTTTCCATTTCATAGCCTAAATATAGTCGTAAATGGTGGTTATTCTGACAAGAGACTCAGTTGTTGTTATTTTTAGTTGCTTTAATAGTGTGGACCACTATTTTCTTTTTGATCCTCACAATTTTGGAATCCAGTCGCGGGCCGGATTGAACGGCTCAGCGGGCCGGATTCGGCCCGCGGGCCACCAGTCGATGATCAGTGCCCTACACCATTTGTTTCCATTTATTCTCAGACTGTGAGGCAACTCACATCACAACTTTTGCTGAATTAAAACACTGGGATCAAGTGGGTCATAACTGCCTTTTATTGCTATCACACTGTGATGCTGTTTCGATGTTGGGGTGATCTGTCTGTAAATGTAATAATTTCCATTGAATGCATCCCCCCTTCTGCAAAGTTGGAAAAAGTTACATCAAGCAGTTATTCATTTTAACGGGATCAAGCATCAAAACTGCCATACTGCACTGCTTCATTTTTGGAGCAATTTGTCTCAGAATTTAATCAGCTGGAAAAACATCCATCACAGCCTATTATCTGCCTGTCTTGTAAGCGGAGTGCCGCTAAATAAATAAATTCAAATGTAAACGGCGCTGTCCTGCACTTAAAACTTCTGTGATCATGGCTGTGTTTCTGAATGAGGTGTCCGCAAAAGTGAAGTAGGCTACTTGCAGACTCGCATAGGACATTAAGAGGCGCTTTATTGGTTGACACTTCTCGTTTTGTGTCCTTATTAAATCATGCCTTTCTTTCTGCGACTTCAGACACTTTGCTTTCTGCACCAGTATCAGCAGAGGTTTTGCGTCTTGCACCATTTTAACACACACTTTGTTTTCTTCACCACTGCTGAAATAGATCTTGCGGTCCGTGACCTTGTTTAATCGCGCTTTGCGTTTTGCATAAAATGTGTGTCAGTAGGGCAGCGCTTTCCCCACACGCGCGAGGCCTCTGCAACGAAGCGATACTGACAGGGACTGCAGCACATGCACGGTGAGGGAGAGGGTGAGAGAGAAAGGAGAAGAGAAATCCCCGTAATTATAGAAAGAACGCAGTTGGAGGGACTAAAAAGAGCGTCACATTTGGCAGGGATGAGAAAACGTGATTGGTGTGTGGGGGGGTGTGTGCATCAGGGGAGGGCCGCTCGTCTGGTTTGACAGCTCTGCAGCCGACAATGCAATGGCTGATCGCTATCTGAACATCGCTTTTCGTCCACTTGTGGCACATCTAGTCATCGCATCCCTCGAACTGTTGAGGATTTAACAGCTTCAATAGGCTAAGTGTTTTTTTTCCTTTCACATTACAGTTTACCGGTATGTTCATGCAGTTTTTGTTTTATGGACCGCAATTCACGCACATACATTTTTACAACTTTTTAAAACGGTATCGATATGGATTCTGTTCTTGTTTGTTGATATGCCAATACAATTACTATTTGCATAAGTAAATACAGCTAGACAAGCGTACGATCGCAAGAATGGACAGCAGTCCAGGTAAGCTGTTTTTTTTTGCATACAAATATATGCAGGCTAATTAACGCTGGAAATACTTTTGATGTATTAATGTCATATCGAATGTCTCTCTCGACAAACAATTTAACGATTGCATATATATAGGCTATCAGCCAAACTTTGTTCTGTATGTGCGATTCGTTTTGTGAATTAATGTAATAAAAGCACATCACTGAATTACGTACATAGCCATATTCGTAAAGATGCGTAGTTTCAGGACAATAAGTCCATATGCTGGGTGTTGGATCACATATCAGGTGAAAGAAGTGGAAGCGATCATTTCTCAAAGTTCGTCCATATGAATTTAATAATGCAGGAGCAAATATAGAAGAGTAACTACATGACTATGGATAATATCAATATCCAGTATGTAAAGCGACTCGGTGACTTTTTTTATATAGTTTGTAAAAATCAGTGATTTTTTTCTGACTGATCTCAATATAATTCAAAATGAAATTTGGGTTTAGTGATCATCCACTAGCGAACCTATCCGCGCGACCACAGAGACTCACACGGAACGCAGAACCTCTTCACTTCTACAATTTAAAAATAGCTATTTTCATTTTTTTTTTGTTATTGCTATATTTCATACATTGTAGTGTGATCCGTGTACAGCTGCACATTCAGTCATGTTTTTTATTTTCTGATTTGACAGAGTATTCGCGCTCTATTAACGCGGTCTTGCAGGAGCGAGTATTTGCGCAGAATATTTGTGACACTGGGGTCTTCATGTCCCCACCGGCGACACTGGGCTCATTGATCTGCATCGAGGTCACCAAGCGCTTTTTCTGCGTGCAATGACCATGAGAATGACCGAAAATAACTTTTTGGCTCCGTCCATAGACTGTAATTGTAAGCGCGCATTACTGGGTAATCAATTTGTATGAATATAGGCCTACAATAAAATATAAAACAAGATACATAAAACGAGTCAAATTTATAGAACTTTTTGTAGAAACAGCCTACGTCTCCTTTTTGAAAAAGGTGGCAATTTGCACTGTCACACCAGGATTTTATTAATCATGGAAATGTCTTCAAAATATTATTCAAAACATAATCTAGTTATCGCTTGCATAGTGTTAATTGTGCATGGTGTCATACGATTAATTGCTAATGAAATAATACATCTGAATTGGCTTTTTCCTGAATTCAGGAAAATCAACGTATTAGCAAATCACCTTTGATAACAAAGGAGGTACAGAATGCGTTTTAACAAGGGGAGAACTTTGTTATATAAAAGTACATGACTTTGTGTATGAATTGAGAGAGTTTAGCGAATGCCGCGTGTGGCACAACGGGAAGTGCAGAGATGAGTAATGAGCAGCGCGCGGTCCGGCTGCCCCCCCTCCCCCTCCCCCAAGTCACTGTCCTGCTCTATTTCATCTGTTAAATTATATCTGTGCTGCATCCGGCTTCTTACTGCCGGTGGGCGTGCAAAGCCGCATCACGTGGACTCAATCTGTCGACCGCGTGCTGCACGTGACATCTCCCCTCCCCCCCCCCCCCAACCGCTTCGGAGTCACCTCTTTGGTATGGACGTGATGGTCAATGGGTCAGCATTCATTCTATAGTCATTCTTTCTCAATTTCTACGTCTTATCTACTACATGTACCCCACAGGAAGGTGAAAACATTTTACAATACCGTACAAAATAACCATGACTCTCCTCCATTAGGGGCTTCTATAGCCAGCCGTAAACTTTATTTTAGTGACTCCAGGTCATTACAGTAAAAGTTCATGAAAACACATCATCTCTATAAATTAAATGATCACCCCAGTATCCCACCAAGCACCGGGAAGTGGGAGGATCTCAAACACCTTGGCAAATTCATGAGGCCCAGCACTTTGTAGGGGCACCAAAAGTCTACCATGGGGGATCCCAAATTCTGCTGTGGGGGCCTCAAGGTGACATCAGGGGGCCCAGAAATTCTAGCTCTGATCTTGCCAAGCTGGACGCCTGCTGTCTGTCTGTGAGCCTTTAGCCGCTGGCCTGTGTCTCCTGCATGCTCTCAGTGCTTCATTTCGTCTTTTGATTGAATAGTCCTGATGGGTCTCTGTCAGGTTTTAAACGCTTCATGTATCTCTTGCTCTGATCCTGCTTGTACCTGTACCTGGCCAGTCATTGTAAGCTCAGCACTCATGCCTATAGTCGACTCCTTGACAGTTATATGCTCGAAATGTACGTTCTGCTTCACTTGTATGTTGCTTTTGACAGAAGCATCTGCTAAATATATATGTATATGTGATGTAATAGACTTTCTAGTGATGTAAAGCCCCAACCCTCAGTCTGTGAGTGTCCTACATTTTTCCATAATAATGAGAGTATGAACTTCTCACACCAAGATGTAGATTGTGTATTTGAGGATGAAGAGATGTAGTGGAGAACATGTGACGAGGTGTGGAGATCATACAGATGTCATGCAACATGCTAAGCTGGTGGCTCTAAGGGAAAGGTCTTCTTGGGGGCAGGTGCAGGTACTGCAGCGAGATTATGATTCCAGGTCACCAACGAGACTCAAGAAAGCACCAACTGATTGTGGTTGTTTTTGTACCAGCATTTTAACCACTTCACCCTGTGTGTGTGTGTGGGGGGGGGGGGGGGTCATGTTTTCCAACTCGACCTGCACTGCTGGTTGGCAGATCAGGCCCAGCACCGTGCAGGTAGAGCTGTAAGAACACAGGGCTTTCATCTGCTAATGACCTCAATCTCGCAGGCTTGTGCATCCTGAAGCTCCCAGAAGTCATGTGACACTCGGGAAAATGTCTCACCGTACTCCACCTCACACGTAATCAGAACTCCATTTCAGATCCGAGTGCTCCCAGTACCAGAAAATCACTGGCCTTTCCGATCCCACAAAGTATGATTCGATACCATAGTTTTATCTTCTTGGTATGATTGTGTGCCTCTGCTGGAGCCTTATTAGGAAACCTGCAAGGCCAGGTGACCTTCTGCATGTATTCATGAGCAGATGACGGGTGCAGTGATGTCAGTTTGAGGTGATGCTAATAGTAGCACAACTGTGAGCATTGAACCAGAGCCATGACCTGAGTACAGCCTTTCATCACATTTACACCAGCAACTCAAAGTACGAGCAGCAAAGATCATGTTACATGTGTGGAATAGGAAACACTTTGCATGCAGTGGTCACTGAAAGGAAGGAACGAAGACAGTTAAGGAGAAACAGACAGAGGGAAGCACGGAAAGAGGGAAAGGCAGAGAAATACAAAGGAGAAAAGAAAGAGAAAGTTTGTAAGTACACTTACATTTACGACAACAGATTCACTCATTCAGTTCGCACTGTACGTGTTGCACTCTATAGGCTACTTTAGGTTTACAGATTCTCATTTTACGAGGGTAGTTCAGAGTGTTTGGAGCCGTTAATGTGCAATCGATTCGTGGGCGTAGGTAGACCGCGCAGCGTCTACTAATCACCTCCTTACAGTTTTTATGTCATTGTCAACGTAAACCAGAAGAGTGCATTTTGTTGGCATATCAACGAAACCAATTTATTTACTTACCTGGGATTTCAGTCATTATTTCATTATTCGGTTTTTATTGTAACAATGTTATATTCATCCAGAAGATTTTTATTTCATATTTATGAAGACTTGCTGGGCATATATCATACTTATCTATTGTAGATTCAAGTTAAAATTACTTCTGATTTCAGCCTGTCCACCTCAGTTTGCTCATCAGAATTTGACAACAGTGAGATTTTTTTTGTCAAAACCCATTGGCCACTGGCAACATAATTTCCTCACGTAACTAGGGATTCGTAAATGTAGTGCTGAAGTTGTAAATGCATGAGCAGTGATTCAAGGCAAGTTGAACATCGTAAAACTAGTAAATTATAATAATTATAATAATTCATATTTGTAAAAGAGTATTGTACTCATGAAAGGCGCAGGTACACATTTGCTACTCTGAATATGGATTTGCATTTCATAAAGTTATTTAACCTTCGTGACGTTTAAGTATGGTTAATGTAAACATTCATTGATCTCTATAAAAGTCAGAAAAACAGGAAATAATAAAGAGAAAATAGTCGGAGAAACCCAAGGAGAAGGAAAGAAAAAAAAAGTCACAGAAACAAAAGGAGAAAAGAAAGAGGAAAAAAAAGTCTGAGAAATGGGTGAAAAAAGAGGAAGAAATCAGAAAAACAGAAAGCAAGAAAGGAAAAATCTGAAGAAATGGAACAAGAAAATAAAGTGAAAAAAGGAGAAAACAAAGAGGAAAGAAGTTGAAGTTTCATGTTTCATTAGTGATGTACACAAATAGTCAGAGCACACAAGTGGCCTGTTAGTTTTTCAAGGTTCTCATTTAGTGTATGAACAGCCTGAGGGATCATGCCTTCACACTCTCAGTTTTGGCTGTCAGGCTGCAGTAGTGAGAAGAGGCCGCTGTCACGGTGGGTTTTAATTAATTCTCTTACCTTTGACCCTGCACTGCCTCCTGCTGGTGGCCTGCAGGTTTGGGAGAACACAGCTGGCATAGTCCTCGTGCAGCTGCATGCAGTGGCAGGCTGTGCCGTCCAGCGCAGTGCAGATCCTAATCCTGCCGGCGGTGCCCCCAGTCAGGATGCTCGCCGTGGTGCTGGTGTAGAAATGCAAACAAAAAGGAATGGGAGAGGGAGAGATGGAAGGATAGAAGAGAGATGAAGGAAAAACTAAAAGGATGAAAGTCAAAGAAATGTAAGGCGGGAACAGGGGAAGGAAGGTGAATTCCAGAGATGGAGGAGAGATTCAGGAATTTACTACTGGGGCTGATTTCAGTGCTGCTTTTTACTGGGTAGTGAAAGCAAACGATGTTACATGCTGACACTGCGCTGGACTGCGTGTGGCTGTAATCACTGCAGCCATCATGACTATGCTGCATGCTGATCCTGCACAGGAATGCGTGTACCTGTAATCACTGCAGCCAGAATGATGATGCTACATACTGCCCCAGTGCAGGACTGTGCAGCTGTAATGGCTGCAGCCATCATGACGATGCTGCACACTGCCCCAGTGCAGGACTGTGCGGCTGTAATGG